TTATTTTTTTTTTTTTTTTGGGGGGGGGGGGGCCGGGGGGGGGGGTGTATATATATAAAACCACAGCAATTGCCAAAACTTCATTGCAGCAGCTTCTTACAAAGAAATTACATATAAAGAAAACTGTGCTATAAAGCTGCAGCCTAATCAATTTCATATGACGGATATTTCTCCAACAAACACATTTTCCAAATGCATTCGTCCTCCCTAAAAACGTAAGATACAAAAAATGGGCATTTCCGTGCATAAATTGAACATTTCTTTGTTGCCATTATATTTTAACGATTAATGCTATCAACTTCATAAGAAAAAGAGATTTCCGTGCACAAACCAGACTATATTTACAGCCACATCAATGTGTAATCTATCTGGTGTCCTAATTTCAACACAGTACTGCATATAATTTTGAAATCCGTCTTATATTCAGTCTCACTTACCAAAAATTAGAAAACGTTTTCCATGAAATAAGTGTTGTCTTTTAGTCAAAGAAAAACTGAAATTTTGGTGGTAATAAATGTTCTGCATTGAATTATGTTGAAAAATGAATTAAGGTTTGGTAGGAGCGGAGCTATATATAATCCTAGTAGGGCTATTCTTTGGTTGCATGGAAGTATAAGAGATTTTTTACGAGCAGAATATGGAGATAGAAGAATTTAGAAATCAATTGAATTCGTAATTGATTTGGTGTGTTAAAAAACGAATATGGTGTGTCAAAAAACGAAGTGTCTCATGGGTAATTGTTTGCCTGTTAGAGAAAGAGATGGAATTTGAGGTTGTCAATATCGATCTCTTCAAAGGAGAAAACAAAAGCCCTGATTATCTCAAGTTGCAGGTATTCTTCTGTTATTTTTCTCTCTTTCTTCCCTATGAAATTCGCTCTGTCATCTTGCATACTCTTGCAGCCATTTGGGCTTGTTCCTGCCATCCAAGATGGAGACTACACACTATATGGTAAAAACTCTGACTCTTACTTTTGTTTGATACCTTCTACTGGACATGACAAGATTAAAGAAGAAAAATGAGTTAAAAATCTCGACTTATTGCAACCTAGTACTTCATATTTTGTGCAGAATCCAGGGCTATAATCAGGTACTATGCAGAAAAGTACAAGTCTCAAGGAACTGAACTGTTTGGAAAGACAATGGAGGAGAAGGGTAAAGTAGAACAATGGCTAGAAGTGGAAGCACACAATTTTCACCCTCCACTTTACACCTTAGTGCTTCATACAGTTTTCAGCTCCAAACTGGGAATCACGCCAGATCAGAAAGTCATTCAAGAAAACGAGGCGAAACTGGGGAATGTTTTGGATGTCTACGAGGAAAGGCTGTCGATGAGCAAATACTTGGCTGGGGATTCTTTGAGCCTGGCTGATCTTAGCCACCTTCCATTCGGTCATTACCTGCTCAATGGTGCTGGGAAAGGGTACCTGATAAGGGACAGGAAACATGTGAGTGCATGGTGGGATGTTATCAGCAATAGGCCATCTTGGAAGAAAGTTCTCCATCTCTTTCCTTATCCAACTTGAGTTGCATCAATATGCTTTTAAGGCTTCTGATAATAAATTCAGCGTTTCGTGCAGTAAGAATCGACCAGTGTTCGTGTTTTCTTGAAGTCTGTTTGTGGTTTCCTTTTGAGCGTTGGGTTAGCATTTGTTCTTGTTCATGTGCTATTGAAGTCAGTAATATGAAAACACAAGCAGTATCCAACTTCTTGATGATTGCAGTGTTCATTTCATTTCCTTAACAGCATTTCAAGTTTTGAAAATTTTGATGGTGGTAAAGTTCGTCAGTGGCAGATTATAAAATCAAAGGTCAGATCATTGAAACTTAAAACGAAATATCTTGTGAGTCATTGAATTGAACCTTTTTCTTTCCAGTTAGGTCAGTAAATTTATAATTTGTCTTAATTGCATCACCTAATCCAAGTCATTTAATTTGAACAACAGAAAAACAAAAAAGAGAGTAACTCAAATATCACGGTTAACAAAAAGTTCCGTTCTGTTTTCCAGATACCAAAGAAATACAAGCACGGAGCTAGTCACAAAAGAATGCGACTAGTTGCAAAAAGAAAGAGGGAACTTGGTGTTCTATTTCTTAACTATGCTTCGACAATTCAATTGTCGCAAAGTTTGCTGATAGAACTTAAATTTAGTTGCCCAATTAATATTTTCCTAAAACAAGCCGACGACATTGAGTTACCTAACTTCCAAAGTGTGACTTACTCTCTAATTCCCTGTGCCAAACCATGAAACATACTGCCATTTATTGCACTAAAATTCGTCTTGTTCGGTCATGAAAAGCCAAAACACGATATTAAACACAAGATACTAAGGATCGATTAATAACAGAAATTAAAACTTGCAGAAAAATAAAACAAAACACAGAGGAATTTTTCGGCCGAAGCCCCAGAGGTTCGGTGACCCTTTTAATACCTAGTCCTTTGTTGAGAATCCATTCAAGAACGAATATTACTTGGTTACACTATAATGCCTTAAACTAGCAACGAAGGTTACAAACGTTTAGCCAATACCAGAATACAGTATAAGAGACTTATCTTTTCACAAAGAACTAACAGATCTGGCTCGAATCACACAAGAAACTGCAGATTTGACTTCACGAACTTGGAACACTAGTACTCACAACTATTACAGATTTCACACAAGAAATCACATGTATTCAAGTCTAAAACTCTCAAAGATATCATTTCGAATGAGAGTTCAAAATAATGGCGAATCAGAAAACCCTAGTCACTCATAGAAAATGAACCCTTTCAAAAATGAAAAGCCAGAAGAAAAATCTAAGGCCAAATGAATCGTCCAAGGGTATTTATATCACCAAGACCAATTAACTCATCCAACGGTTCATGATGTGCCAAGTGTCAGCATCCAGTGTAAAGATCGCATTTCCATAAAACAACTTTAGCTGAAAATTATGGGGGCACAAAGAATCGGGTTCGAGTCACAACAATCTCCACCTTGCTACCATAGTTTTCAGGTCAAAGTGTAGCCAGGAGCATATCACATTCTCTTGTTTCTTATGCTCCAAAAAAAGCACCTATAAAAAAAATTACAATGTATCAATAGATAATATCTTCAGAAAGTTTATAAACTTGTTTATAGGTATTATCTTGGTCCCCATATCAGAAAGATTAACCTGATAGCAACCTTCCCAATTTTCAAAATTTCTTTTGAAATTATGTCCCTTATAAAATGATATTTGACATCTATGTGTTTAGTTCTATCATGATACATGGGATTTTTACTTAGATGTATGACACTTTGGTTATCTGAATATAAAGTTACATTTTCATCAACAAAACCAAGTTCCTTTAGTAATCCTCTTAGCTAAATTCCTTCTTTAAAGGCATCAGAAGCAGCAATATATTCTGCTTCAGTATATGATAAAGCTACAATCTTTTGAAGTTGAGATTTCCAACTAATCACAGTACCACATGAGGTAAAGAAATATGATGAAATTGATTTCCTATTCTCTATTTCCAGCAAAATCTTAATATATAAGTCCCTTTAAAGTTACCTCTTCTTTATTTAACTTAAACATGAGACCATAGTTAGATGTCCCTTTCAAGTATCTTAAAAGCCATTTCAAAGCATTCCAATGTTCTTCCTCAGGATTACTCATAAATCTGCTAAGTATACTAATACTGAATGCAAGATCAGGTCTTGTGCATACCATCAAATACATCACAGATCCAATCATATTAGCATAAGGTACATTTGACATTCTATCATATTCTTTAGCAGTTTTAACGCAGAAATCAGAAGAAAGCTTGAAATGATTTGCTAAAGGTAAAATAACAGATTTACAATCAAGCATATTAAACATTTTTAAAATTTTATTCACATAATCATGTTGATTTAAGAACAATATATCTTTTTCTTTATCTCTAAAAATCTACATACCAAATCTTTTTGGCAACTTCTAAATCCTTCATATCAAATTCAAATTTAAGTTTTTGTTTAATAAACTCAATCTCAGATTTATCACAGTTGGCAAGTAATATATCATCTACATAAAGTACTAAGTATAAAGAGTTTTTACCTCCATTACCTCTACAGTATAGGCATATGTCATAGTTGCTTCTTTGAAAGCCAAGTTTTAGTACAAAGGTGTCAAATCTTTTGTACCATTGCTCCGTGTGGTTTGTTTTAAGCCATACAAAGATTTCTTTAAAAAACATACAACTTTTTCAGAATCACCTTTTATAAAGCCAACAGGTTGTTTCGTATAAATTTTTTCATCTAAGTCACCATACAAGAAGGTAGTTTTAACATCTAACTAATCCATTTCCCATTTAAATTGAACAACAAGGGCAAGAATACATATGATTGTGGTGTACTTAACAACAGGGGAAAATATTTCATTGTAATCTATTTCCTCTTTCTGTGTAAAACCCTTAGCAACTAATCTAACTTTATATCTTACACATTTGTTTCCTTCCTCTACTTCTTTTATCTTGTAAATCCATTTACAATTGATCAACTTTTGATTCTTAGGTCTCTTTACCAATTCCCAAGTATTATTCTTAAGAAGAGATGACATTTCATCATTTATTGCTGCTATCCAATTTTTAGCATCTTTGCAATTAATGGCATCATCATAGGAGCTTGGTTCATTTTCAAATTGTTCTTGATAGGTAAACAGTGAAACAAAATCATCACAGTCAAATCTAGCAGGTATTCTAATTTGCCTTCTCTCCCTATCTCTAGTTAACTGATATTCATTTAAGGGAGGATTTGCAAAATCAGTTTGTTCATCAGTATCAGATGATTGATTGTTTTCAGTTTCAACAGTAATGCTATTTTCATTTTGATCAAGTTCAGTTAAGGTAGGAACATGAGAATCAGTTTCACTATGAAATTTCTCCACGTCAATCTGAACATCTTTTTCAGTCAAATTATTCTCCTTTCCTTCTAAACATGGCATAATAGATTCATTGAAAACTACATCTCTTCTAACAATTACTTTATAGCCCTTTTCTTTGTAAAGCCATAATCTGTAGCCTTTTACATTTTCATCATAACCTAAAAAAACACACTTAAGTGATCTAGGTTCTAACTTTCCAATATTCTGATGGGCATATGCAACACATCCTAAAAAATTTAAATGTGAATAATCAATAGGATTTCTAGACCATACAGATTCATGAATATCATAATTCAGAGCACTTGTTGGAGTTCTATTAACTAAATATGCAGCAGTTTTTACTGCTTTACCCTAAAATAGTTTAGGTAGACCAGAACTCAAAAGCATATATCTCACTTTATTCAACAAAGTTCTATTCATCATTTCAGCTATACCATTTTGTTGAGGGATATGAGTAACTGTTCTATGTCTTACTATGCCAAATTCTTTGCAAAAATTATTGAATTCATAATTACAAAATTCCAAACCATTGTCTGTTCTCAGGATCTTTATTTTGTTATCAGTTTGATTTTCAATCTGAATTTTCCATTCCTTGAAAATAGAAAAAGTTTCATCTTTTGATTTTAACAAGAAAGTCTAGATTTTCTTTGAATAATCATCAATGATTAAAAGATAATATTTAAAGCCAGACAAGGTAGTAACTGAGGCTGGGCCCCACAAATCAGCATGCAAATACTCAAGTATTTGTTTAGACTCATGAATTCCAGGTAAGAAAGGAAGTTTAACTTGTTTTCCTATCACACATTTTTCACAAATACCAACTTCACCAAGATTTTGATTTCCAAAAACTCCTTTGTTTTGTAAAGTTTTTAAACTTTTCTTGCCAATAAGGCCTAACCTTTCATGCCACAACTTTGCAAAGGTAAAGTTATCAGTTAAAGCAGAAGCAGCCAAACTAAGTAAAGGTTTTGGTTTAAGAAAATAGAGACCATATCTCTTAGGCGCACTAATGACCAAGTCATTTCCCCTAAGAATTTTCATATGTCCTTGACCCATTTTAATGTCAAACTCCATATCATTGAGCATTCCTAGAGACAATAGATTTCTTTCTAAGTCTGGAACATACCTTGTTCCTTTCAAATTTAGGACATTTCCATTTTCTAACAACAGTTTTATGGTTCCTATTCCACTTATTTTATAGGTCATATTATTTCCCATTATAACCTGCCCACTAGCTATCTTTTCAAAGTCAAGAAAACTTTTATTGTTTGGACACACGTGGAAGGAACAACCAGAGTCAAGGATCCATTCATTATTTAGCTTCTTTTCAACATTGACAAGGACCAATCCATTTTCGATTTTATCCTTATTGAATACTAAGGCAGCATTCCCACCCTCAACTTTCTTTTCTTTCAGCTCATTTTTCTTTTTATAACAGTCTTTAATAAAGTGACCATGTTTCCCACAATAAAAATATTTTTTCCCTTTTGCCTTATTCTTGGATTTGGTTTTTTCATTCCATTTGTTTCTATTCTCATTAAGGTTTTTAGAGTGATAGCTTGGTTTATTGAACCCCTTTCCTTTTGCCATAATGGTGTCACCACTGTGATTATCCTTAGTTTCAAATTTAATTTCCAATGCATTATTTCTTAAGGCATTTATAATCACATCAGTAGTAAATTCATCCCTTCCATGTTCAAGAACAACCTTAACGTCTCTATATCTATCACTAATGGAGTTTAACAGAACTATAGCTAACTGATCTTTTGAAAGTTTTTCATCACAGTTGGCTAAGTCTTGGTCAACTTTGTAAACTTATTCAAGTTATCATCTAAATCAATTGAAGGGTCCATTTTAAAAGAAAAGAGTTGTTTTAACAAATTGCATTTATTTGGGATAGTCTTAGTAACATATTGGGTATCAAGTTTGGTCCAAAGTTCAGAAGCAGTTTGGTTTCACCAATGGTTCGTATCACATTATCAGAAAGATCCGAAAAATGGTACTCCAGGCAACTTCTTCAAGTTCAGTTTTCCTAACATGATTCATATCTTGAGGCCAACTATCATCTAATGCCTTAGCACATCTCATTTGCATAAGTATGGCTTTCATCTTTTGACTCTACATATTAAATCACCTTTTCCATCAAATTAAGCAACTTCAAACTTAGCAATAGCCATATCAATATAACACAGAGTGCTCAGATATGAATCAAAAATACAAGGAACAATTAATTTCAAGTTTTTGTGTAATAACAATACAACAGTGTTATAAGTTTTAACACAGAAGGACAGACAGTCAAAAACAATATAAGGAATACAATATCAGAGATCAAAGAATTATGTTTCAGTGACTTTTTTTTCGAAGACCCTCCAGATACACACCCGTACTGGATTTATCTCAGATTTCGAAGGCCTCGTAGGAGCCTTTTGACAAAGAATATATTCCATGGGGTTTTTAGTGTATGGTAAGTCAAAGGAAAAAATCCAGAAACCGAATTTAGAAATAAATTTTCCAAAAGATTCAAAAAGATCTCACCCAGCAAGTTTTAAAAAAACTCAATATCCTTCATCCTGCTTAAAAGCAGTTCCAACAAATTTTTCAGATTTGGAACAGATCAGTGCCTTCCTTCCAAGATCCAGGTATCTTGCCCTCAGTTTAGTGCTCTGATAACATTGAAAAGCCTAAACACGATATTAAACACAAGATACTAAGGATCGATTAATAACAAAAATCAAAACTTGCAGAAAAATAAAACTGAATATAGAGGAATTTTTTGGCCGGAGCCCCAGAGGTTCGGTGATCCTTTTAACACCTAATCCCCTGTTGAGCATCCATTCAAGAACGGATATTGCTCGGTTGCACTATAATGCCTTAAACTGACAACGAAGGTTACAAACGTTTAACCAATACCAGAACACAGTATAAGAGACTTATCTCTTCACACAGAACCAACAGATCTAGATCAAATCACACAAGAAACTGCAGATCTGACTTCACGAACTCAGAACACTAGTTCTCGCAACTATTACAGATTTTACACAAGAAATCACATGTATTCAAGTCTAAAACTCTCAAAGATATCATTTCAAGTGAGAGGTTCAAAATAATGGCAAATCAGAAAACCCTAGCCACTCACAGAAGATGAACCCTCTCGAAAATGAAAACCCAGAAGAAAAATCTGAGGCCAAACGAATCGTCCAAGGGTATTTATATCACCAAGACCAATTGACTCATCCAACGGTTCATGATGTGCCAAGTGTCAGCATCCAGTGTAAAGATCACTTTATAAGATCGCATTTCCATAAAACGTCTTTAGCTGAAAATTATGGGAGCACAAAGAACTGGGTTCGAGTCACAACAGGTCAAGTAAGGGAAATTTCATTGAATTCAAACTGTCTATGAAACAGATATGTCACTGTGATTCATTTGCTATTTAGTTACATAGGTGTCACAAGCATATAACGAATGCTGCATTAAGACTGTCATGTGATTCATTTGCTATTTAATTATACAGGTTTCACAAGCATATAACAAATGCTGCATTAAAATTTTCATAAACTTCAACCATCAATACAAAATCAATATTCTAAAAAGTGTAAAGCATGGTTGTGCATAAAAACCAATTTTCAAGCTTTATAAGCCTAAGCGTAAAAAATTTTTAATCATTCTAAAAATCATTCAGTAATTAAAATAATGGATACCAAACATCTAAAATTATGAAATACTATATTTACTTAATAACTGATACAATTAGTCAATTATATAATTTTCATAGGAAAATCTTGAAATTAAATCATATAAAATATTTTTGAAGAAAGGAAAATAATTAAAAATAATTAAAAAAGTGCGCCTAAGTGCGCATTAAGGGGTCAACTTGAAATTGACCACTTAATTTCACGCTTATTGTCAAGGCGAGACATTTCGCATGTGCCTCGTGACTAGACATACCCAATTTAGAATATTGCACAAAAAAATTACCATGTTAATCTATTGTTCACGTGAATTTGAGCCCCCAAGCAAAAGACTCACTCTCGTGACAAGCTTACAGAGTAGAGTTAAATCTAAGTTTGGCTATTTCAAGTTTGTTCAAGAATTGTCGCGTTGTGTTTGTTGACTCTTTTTCCATAAGCTCTCTACATCACAACTTAATACAATCATATTACAGTACAAATAAATGATGAAATAATCAAGGAGCAGTTTTATGAAAATTTAGAATCAGCTTCTAATATGATATATATTGCACAAAATGCATTAAAGAAAATATGATGAATTAAATACGATTCTAGTATAAATTAATATATTTAGTAAATACCAAATAGCGATTCTATCTGTTGATGGAGTCTTGTTAATGTCCAGAACACGTACACCAAAAGAACTAGTTGACTTATTCACACCAAAAGAAGTGCACAACATATGCCTCAACTCGGTATATAGAGTTGAACAAGAATTATAGAAGTTAAATTTTATCTTTATATTGTTCATTCTTTTAAATCCTAAGTGAAAATTTTGGTTCTTTGTGAATTACACAACTACGCATTATTTGTGTGGTTTTGATAAGATTTGATGTTTCTTCACCTCCCATATAATAAAAATAGATTTATAAATCTTTTCATGGGTAAATTTCCTTAGCGGTCTCTTAACTTTTAGTGTCATTCTAATTGAATCATTAAATTTTAATGTATTATCTTCGAATTTTACACCTTGTTATATTTTGTTACTTATTGCCTCCTAGAATGATTAAAATTACTTAATTGACTGTCATACCAGAATTGGTCTTCCACTTAATCAATATATTATACCCTGGAAATAGTAATGGTATATAAAGAATATGATAATGTTTTTTGATTAAGTTATTAATTTTACGATGTCATACAATAGTTAATTGGCATGTCATGTACGATTTACATGAAAGATTCATCGCAATATGACAAATTAAAATTTAGTGACCAAACTGAAATTTCGTTGGAAGTTTAGTTACACATTCAAGATATATATATATGAATTGGAGCTAACTTTTTTGTACTTTCATTTGGCTCGGATTTGTGAGATAGTTATGGACTTTTTTCCAGGTTAGAATCAGCGGCGAATCTAGGATCGAAGTCCAGCTAGGGCAGGTTGACCGTTGAGTGTTGACCATTGACGATCGGACTAGGACGAGTTGACCGTCGACGATCATAATAGTCCGATCGTTTAATAAAATTAGTTATATAATATTAAAAGTTATTCAATATATATGTAAATGAACTGAAACGTCAAAATCGTATACATATGAAAATATATTTCAATACAACCCAAAATAGTTAAAAATATATATATATATATATACAATACAACCTTACTCAGTTACTCTGTAACTGTAAACTTAGTCAACTATATTCTACGGGGTCTCATGATTTCAAAACGTTGCAATATTGCCTCATTCTCAAATTTTTAAAAAATAGCTTTTTCCACGTAAACCACCAAATTTTCATTCAACCAGTCATCTCCCATTTTGTTGCGTAAATCACTCTTGATTAGATTCATAGCAGAAAATACCCTTTCAACACTTGCAGTTGCCACAGGTAATATCAATGCCAAGGTGAGCAACCTATAAACCAATTGAAAATAACCGGAACTTCTAGTTTCAACCAACTACTGAGCTATAAAAGATATGCTATTGAGATTAAAGAAAGCTTCGTCCATTCTCACAAGCAAAAGAAACTTATCAAGCTGAAGTCTAAGTAATAAAAGCTCTTCACTATTGAAGTCCAAAGGATAGAACTGAGCAAGACGTAGCAATTTATTCTTATCAAAAGTTGCAAATGAATCTCTTAGACTTAAACATGAAATGCAAGTAAAGATCTCAGTAGTTGTTTTTGGAAAATGATCATTCAACTCTTGCAAGATTAAGTCTATCGCATGACAATACAATCAACATAAAAGTGATGAAAATAAGTCACTTGCTGAGCTATATGCCTAGGTCGACCTTTCACTCCTACAATATCCTCCATATTGGGTACTAAAATATGTCTATCAACATAAAACTCAATCACCCTACTCAACAAAGTATCACAACCATTCTCTCTGAGGTTCTGCAATGCACACTTACACAAATTCAATAACCTCATTGCATTTTAAATATCCTGATCCTTTTTCTGTAAGGCTCATGAAAGGTTGTCTATAATTGTAAGAATTTCTAACATAAAGTGGAGACTAAACATAAACTCAAAATCTTGCATAACATTCATCTGTCTTACGGCTGAAGATTTTTTATCTGAATGTACGCCATCTTCTAATATATTTTCAAGAACATCTATGATAGCATTAAACATATTAATGAAACGAGTAATTGTTAGTAGATGTGAGCCCCACCTAGTATCACTTGGGCGTCCCAAACTCATTTCTTGAAACTGACCACTTCCACTAGTAAGTTCCCCAATATTAAGCTTCTCCAGAATATTAACTTAATAACTTGTTCGAAGAGCATCTACATGGTTACATGATGCACCAACCAAATTTACAATAATAGCAAGTATGTCAAACAAATAACCAAGCATACAATTCCTACGTGAGACATATACAATTGCCAACTGAAGCTGGTGAGCAAAGCAATGAACATACATAGCATGTGGGTTCTCTCTTAGAATTAAAGCTTTCAACCCATTGGACTCACTTGACATATTACTTGCTCTATCATAGCCTTGACCTCTCAGGCTAGATATGCTCAACCCATGTGTAGAAAACATTGCATCAATGACATCCTTCAATGATTGGGCACAAGTATTAGTGACATGGGACATACCTAAAAAATGCTCCTTCACTTGCCCACTTTTATCAACAAACCTCAAAACAACTACCATTTGTTCTTTCATAGAATTATCACGAGCCTGATCAACCAAAATTGAAAACAAAGAATCACCTATCTCATTGATAATAACACTTGTCATCTCTATGGCACAACAATTAACCAAATCCTTTTGGATGGTTGGTGAAGTCATTTGGTCATTTTCAGGAGCATTACTAAATAATACTTCTTTAATTCCTTGACAACGAGCTGCATACCAGTTCAGTAACTCAATTAGATTTCCTCAATTAAGAGATTCTTTCGATTCATCATGACCTCGAATGACAATTTTGCATCAAGAGGAGTCTAGTACAATCTAGCACCGCATTCAACCAGGTCCTATAACTTTGTTGTTGACTACTACTTTGGCTAGACATGACATAGGAGATACTTTGCTTTTGATTCATCAAGTTGGTACACTTTGCAAAATCTTGATTATGAGCACTATCAAAGAGACCGACATGATCTTTCAATGTCTTTTTGTGCTTCCAACCCCTAAAGTCGATCTTAGTAAATATATGGCCACCCCTTTGATCCCCTCTATCGGGTTTGAACAAGTAGCAATGCAAACAATACACCGCATCCTTTTCTATACTGTATTCCAACCAATGAAATTTGGAGAACCATTCTTTTCGAAAACATCTATTATCATTCCCCATCGGTCTTTTTGGAAAATCATGTCCATATGGTTGACAAGGACCCTTCTTCAAGTATGCCATCCTAACATCTGATATTTGGATCATATGACTCGATGGAGGGCATATCCCTGGATTAGATACAAGATCATCCACATTAAATTGAGCCCGGGACTTCTTTGTGTTATTCAATAACTCTTGTGCTCGACTAGAATCAGTGGCAGGACTAGATGCACAAGAAGAAGTAGAAGAATTGGGTATGGACTTTCGTTTTGATTGAAAAAATCGTTCCATAATCTGCAAATGTCCCAATTCATTTTTCAATTACAATTGATTAAAAAAATAACCAAGTACACACGGGTTTAAAACGAGTGCCTGTTAGGATTTTTCTCATCTCCCAGGAAAGATCAATCACAGATTTGCATGATAGGAAAGAAAATGCATAGATGACAGATTATAAAACCAACAAAAAATCAGATTAATGGACACAAGAACATCATGTTCTCTGGTTAAATTTTATCAACCACTTGTAGGGAATTTCACCCCAGTCAATCTTCCCTTACAAGAGGAAATTATTACAGTAATTGTTCTACCCAACAGCAGCACTCATCACTCTACGAAGACATATCTTTCCAATAGAACAATCAATTCTCACAATAAGTTTGTATGCCATATCTTTCTAATAGAACAGTCAATTCTCACAATTCATATATACAAACTATCTGAGAACAGTTCAACATTTGAGAAACATGGCCGATAAGAAATATAACACATCCGAGCGAAAGAATTGATGACCTGTTTCCTTTTTCTCTTTCTACTAAAATAATTGTTTGCCCACTAACCAGCTAACTAGAGTAATCATATATCCATTAATGTTTAATCATATAGGCTTTTATAATGTTCCGACTTCCAACCCTATTCACAACTATGGGTGGTTTGATCTGGCATTTCAAGAATTGAAATTGAACCATAAATTTTGATTCTTTTGTATTCAATCACTATAGAAAAATTGAAATCGAATGTTATGATTCCGGTTCTAGATTTCAGTTAAATTGTACAAAAATAAATATTCTCCTAAAAATCCCAATTCAATCAGTAGGTGTTCACGAAATTATTTGTTCCAATTTAAAATCTACCGCAAGTGTACGATTCGTTAACAAGTAGTAAAATGGACTATGAGTCCAAGTATCGATCCCCACAAGGATTGAATTAGTTCAAATTAAGCTACTATGACCTTAATCGAAACACGAAAATCAAATTGACGTTTTGTACTTTAACTAAAAAGATGTAAACTTTGATGCAAGTATGAATGAAAAATTATACTAAATGCAAAATAACTTGGATGCAATTTAACTCGAGTTTATGGAATTAATGAATATACTAACGTACTAGGATTACGAATTCCCAAGCAATACCCGTTCAATTTTCAATTATGCAAATTTGACACACAGTTCCACAAAAGATGAATCAATATTCCTATTTTCATTTAGCAATCTCTCTCGAACAATGCCAAACCTATCCTAATATATGATTCGACTATATTTCTATGACGAATATTAATATATCAAAACGCATTATAAATTCATGAATATCCAATGATTCACACAAGGCATAGAGGTATATTTCTATCCCCTATCGGACCCTATGATGATTTATACTATGTCAAACCTATTTTCCTTCTTTTGAATGCATAAAACAGGCCACCAAAATCACATAATTACGTGCACAATAATCATATGAAAATAAAAACGTAATAAACCATTCAATTCCGAAACATGCGTCTTAAAGATGTCAAATATCCGAAACAAAAATTAAACGTAGTATTACAAGGTTCATCGATCTCCTAGCAATGATAAATCTAGCCTAACATGTTAAAAAGAAGAAAACATAAAAATATTTGAAGAAACATCATCACCCGAATCAATCTTCAATCGAATCTTCGCTTGGCGTGATATTATCCTCTTGTTCTCTCCTCGTTTCTCCTTCAAAATCTCTCAAAAACTTGTAAAAATGGCGTCCCTTACATTTTGGTCGAGTTTTTGTTTATATAGGACCCTAAAAATATTATTTTCATAAGAGTTTCGGCGAAAAAAGGAAACTGCGATTTTTCCCTAATATTGCTCTATGCGGTCGCATATAGTAAAGTTTTTGTGGCACTTTATCTTCAGGTTGCCTCTATGCAACCGCATTGTAGCAGTCGAGAAAAATAAAATGAAATTATGCTAATATTTTGTGATGATCTAGCACCCGAGCCTAACCTATTTTAGAAACGACCTATGGAAGTTCAAACCATGTAAGATTACGAAAGCCCAAGTCATAAGTTAGTTAAAAACCCAATAATTTAAGAGATTAATTTTAAGTAAAATTGATTACAAAGATTTAATGAATAACTGAGTTGCCACAATGGTCATCTACATGGTATTTCATATAGGCAACCCAGGTTCGAATCACCATGTAGATGTTTTTTATAAAAATTTCATATGAATTATTTTTATGGCTTAGAGACTATTCAAATTCTTAGTTAAAGACTAAGTTTAATAAATTTAATGATAATACAGCTCCCCCATTTAATTTTTCATTAAAAAGAAAGGTTATAGAAGTGGAAGGTCACTTTTTCATCACACCCCTCTTCAAATCCGAATTTCATCTCATTTTCTTTCAAAAAAATATATTTCATATCAAGTTAAGCTTAAGGAATAACAAAGGTGAGAATAAGGAAGACTTTCTATACATTTTATTCTTTTATCCAAGAAAATTCAAGGCAGGTAGATGTGCAAGTGTTCATTTGTTTTCAAATCAGATTTTTCGATAAATATTTGAATGAAATGGTACCTTCGGGTACAGTGCTTCAACACTACAACAGTTTGAATGATCATTCTCCGGCTCTACGTGTTATGATAATGCTATAGTAATTGAATTTTGTCGGAAATCCATCTATGTGTGACGGTATGAATCTATAGTTCGAAATTTCTAATTTGATAACGAATTGCACCGATGATATCTATTGAGTTTCAAACTCATGGGTTAATTCCCTTCCTACAGGTTGAATGGATTTTCCTTGGGGCATAGATGATGGTAAGGGATGACGCAACATGTCATGGAGAAGCCGGTGATTTATATCTTTAGTTGATTTGGAGATGTTTACACTTTCTTTAAATTTGATTCCTATGAATATTGTGTGGATCTATTTTACGAGCACTCATTATGAATAAATTAAGTTTAAAAGTAGATATGCGTCATAGGAATAAATTTACAAATCACCGTATACAAAAAAAAGTTAGCAACTTAAAGTTTTGATGTCTCTTCAAAAATTTCAGTTTCTACCTCATCTTTAAAAAAAATCATAACTCTTTCGTTACTTGGTATCTTTATACGAAACCAATTGGATTGGATAGCTTAATAAGTTAGATACTGAATAAAATTGGAATCATGTCAATCCAATATCGGTAAAAGGTTATATGAAGTAAACTGGCTAGGTGTTGTCTCTGTTCTTCAGCTTCTATCCTTGTTTTCAAAAATTCATAACTCACTCGTTACTTGGAATTTTTGGATGAAACCAATTGGATTTGATAGTCTCATGGATTAGCTACTGAATAAATTTTAAATCATGTGGTTTTTGACATCGGTGGAATTTTATATGCCATTTTAAGTGAATTGCACCGGTTTACCTTTCAACCGGGTCGCTGTTGAGTTTTGAAAAATATTTTAATACCCCATATGACTTCGACGGAAGCTAATTTTTGACTATGTCATATTATAAGGAGTTTTCTACCTTACATTGAAATTTGATGAAATTTCAAGGTCGATAGCCATGAAAATAAATTTATTTTTACAATTACTGTTTGAGACAAAAACTGGAACAGCAACATTACTTTTTAAATTTTGCCAAAATTTCATGTCAATAGTCATTACATGCATGGAACCCATTCTAAAAATATTTTTTTGAAATTGTTTTCTTTTAGGATTGAATTATTGTTTAAAAAAAATTCTTTAATTGAATTCTAAAATTTAATCTTTATACCTTTTACTAAAAATATATTGAACTAACTTTTGGCTAAGGTACAATGGTCGAGTGACATTTCCATCCATGCGAGTCGGGGTGTTACAGCATGGTATCAGAGCACGAGTTTAGTCGATTCTGTAGACTTGGTGTATTTTATTTATGAGATGGAAATAAATGAAACATTTAAGGCACTACATGGCATCTTGCGTCTATCAGTTGACCTCATCCGACGAACCCAAGGTATGGAATAAAATATTATGTTCCACATTATTTTTTCGAGCATGATTTTTTTTAATCATTTAAACTTGAATCTATGAAAATGCTTATGATGTTTTGAATGAAATATGCTATGTACATTATATTTTGTTTAAATATGCGTGAAGAAATGATGATTGACCATCATATTAGAACCTCAAGAGCATAATGTATAAGTTGATATCACTAATGAAGATAACACATAATTGGACACTTATGTGACAAACATGGCTAGAACTTATCAGACCACTAGAAAGGCCACAGTTTGTATAGAAGTGTTGAACCGTAGGGCCATTATCCAGTCCTATGAGAACTATGTGACTGACCCGTCTCGTCCACTTGTTGAACAGGTACATGATATCTACGAGAGATGTATGACAGCTATAGATGCGGGATTGGAGATCACGCATATCGAGGTTGTGAATAACCTTGTACATTCACTTCCACCTTAGTGGGGAAACATGGGAGTCATTGTTAGGGATGAGATGCTAGAGGGTAACCATCCAGAGCACCCAAATACGATTGAATTTGGTATTTATTGTCAGACCTTTCTAGACAGATGAAGTGAGAGTTTAGAACCCTAACCGGAGATAGTAATTGAGCCCAACAATGAGGTTGAGCCTGAGCTCGAGCCCGAACCTCAGTTTGAATCAGACCCAGAGGAAGATCCTGGATTGGAGCATGAGGATGACTTTGGGTTGGACTTAGAGAATGATCATGAGCATGAACCTGAGCCACAGGTTGAGATAGACCTAGAGTCAGGGCCTGAGACAGAAGACTCCTCCAAAGATGAGGCTCCACCGAAGAAGATTCGCAAGATTCATAGGGAATTAGAAATTTAGATTTTCATTTCTTTGTGATATCTTTTCCTTTATGTTTTTGAAAAAGTAATAATAATTGTCAACCTCTTGTATGTCCTGATTGCAATGAATACTATTAATAAAGGAAATTATGATCAATTTGAGGACTACCTTATTTTTTTTTAAGTATTCTGGTATTGACAAACGAAGTTAGTGTGAGATATTATATCTTATCTCTAGGAAAATGTCTCGAGCAAACCAGAACAACTTGATAAGGGATCTCCTGCAAGCGGTTCAAGATCTTGGTAGGCTGAATCAAAATCCCGCTCTACCTACACCACTAGCTCCTATTACTCTTCTGACTCACGCCTCGGTAGTTGAGTTATTTCGAAAGCATAAGCCCCTACCTTCGATGGAGCATCTGGTCCACTAGTAGTTGAGGAATGGCTTCGTAAGCCAGAATGAATTTTTTGGCTCTTAGACTGCACTGATGCCCAAAGGATTCAATGTGCAGAGTTTTTGTTTACCGGTGATGCAAGTCACTGGTGGGATTCCCGAACTAAGACTCCGGAACAGCAATTCGCAATAACTTGAGAACAATTCAAGGAGGAAGTA